TTAGATGAAGCCCATAAGTCTAAGCTGTCAATACATCCTGGTACAAGTAAAATGTACTATGAAGTACGAGATGATTATTGGTGGCCTGGATTGAAGAGAGACATTGGAAGATACGTAAAGGAATGCTTAGTATGTTTACAAGTCAAAGCGGAACACCAAAAGCCATATGATAGTCCAGAAGGTATTAATGTACCTATGTGGAAATGGGAGGAGCTGTCCATGGATTTTATTACCAAATTACCGAAGACTTCCAGACAGAATGATAGCATTTGGGTAATTGTCGACCGACTAACTAAGAGTGCACATTTTCTCGCCATGCGTGAAACGGATCCAATGGTGAAATACGCACAAGTGTACTTGGATGAAATTGTTGCAAGACATGGTGTGCCACTAAAGATTATTTCCGATCGTGATACTCGCTTCACTTCTCATTTTTGGGCTAGTATGCAACGTGAATTGGGATCTCGGATTGCTCTCAGTACAGCTTATCATCCCCAGACAGACGGTCAGACGAAGAGAACGATCCAAACAGTAGAAGATATGCTTCGTGCATGTGTCTTGGAGTTCGGTGGTAACTGAGACAAACACTTACCTCTTGTCGAATTTTCATATAATAACAGTTACCACGCTTCAATCAAAATGCCACCATATGAAGCACTATATGGACGGAAATGTCGTACTCCATTATGCTGGCGTGATATAGGACAGAAAATCCTTAGAGGCCCTGAAATGATTCAAGACACCACTGACAAGATTCAAATTGTACGATAAAGAATGAAAGCGGCCCAAAAGATCGACAGAAGTCCTATGCAGAAAGGAGGAGACGACCCATAGAATTCCAAGTGGGTAATTTCGTAATGCTGAAGGTATCCCCATGGAAAGGCATTATGCGATTTGGGAATAAAGGAAAATTGAGTCCTAGATTTGTAGGCCCTTTCAAAATCATCCAAATGATTGGTAAACAAGCATACCGCTTAGAATTACCTGAAGATTTGGCAGGTATACATGATGTATTTCATGTGAGTTATCTGCGTAAATGTTTGAGCATATATGATGAAATGGTCCCGTTATCCGAGGTGAAACTGGATAATAAATTAAGATATGTAAAAGAGCCTGAAGAGATCGTAAACGAAAGAACGACTGAATTGCGTAATAAAGAAGTGGAAACACCATCGAGGCCCAAATCATACTTGGGAAAATAAGAATGAGATAAGAACGAAATATCCTCATTTGTTTAAATCGTTGTAATTTCGGGGACGAAATCCTCAAAGGGATGAGCTATTTGTAACATACACGTTTAGTTATCGTGTTTTGTAATTTTAAAAGTAAATAATATTATGAAATATTATATGATTATGAGCGTTGAGTTCTAACAGATAATTTTTACTAGGATTGAAGTAAAACTATGTTTAGAATCATTTCAGAAAGTATTGGAAGTCTTATGAGATTCCAATCAAATGTCAACTATTAAAATTAACGAAAATATAAATTTGAAAATAAGTACAATTATATTATTGAAAGTTGTAAAGAATCTCGTTAGAAACATTTAGGCGAAAACCTCATCGAAATCCAAGTTATAGCAAAGAAGTTATGACTATTTGAAGTTTCGCGACAGAACCGGCACGACGTCGTATGACGTAAAAAGTGAGTTTTCAATAAACTACTTTTTAGGCTTAATGATCTAAATGAAAGTCATAGTACTCGTTAAACCGAGAATTTTAATAAAAAGAACGTCCAAATCTGACTTCGTATGAGGAAGTTATGATTTTTCTAAGTTTCGGTATAGCAGTATACAGCTAAAAACTCGAAATAAAGATCGAGTGATTTTTCGCCGATGCAACCTAAACGAGAATTGAATGTCTCGTCAATACTAGTACAACGGTAAAAAGACAAACGAAAACGGACATCGGATGAAGAAGTTATGAATTTTTAACGGACTTTTCCTGTCCCGGCCCGTTAAAAATATAACTTTAAAAATAAAGTCAAAGTTAGCCGACGGAGTCTAAACGAAAGTTGTAGAGTATCATCTCACCTACATGTGGATATAAAGAACGTCAAAAACGGAGCTCGTATGCAAAAGATACGAATTTTTGAAGTTTGAAAATTCGGAATACGCCCAGCGTACTCGTGTTCACAGTCCAAGATTGGCCACGTAGCCCAAACCTCGCATAATACACAAACACGTTCATACGTACTTGACACGTCTGAGCCACGCATCAGCTACGCCGTAGTGGCAAGACCTCGGGTTTGTTTACAAAATTACTCTCTCCTCTCTATTCTTTCTTACCTACTTTTAACCCCCCGAAGCCTAGGGAACATCCCCGACACCCGAAGCAAGTCCCGACACTCCGAAGTTCCCGAGAAAATCATATTTTCAAGTCGAAACTCTGCCCGAGTAAGGCCCGATTTTCAACTAAAATCTCCGGTTTCGTCACAGAAAGTCATATTTAAAGTCGAAGTGTTGCCCAAATTAATACTTTAATCCCCGGTTAAATTCACAGTGAGTTCAATATAGGGACAATTGTATGTTATGTGTCATATGTACAATGTGCTTTTCCGTTGTTTTATGATATGAGCAACACCTTAGACCCGAAGTGTATGACATAAGCATCACTTGGGTACTACAGGTATGTAGCCTTTGGCCATGAAGTGTCTGACATAAGCACCACTTTGGCATTGCAGAATGCTAAGATAAGGCTGAAAGCCTGGTATTCTAGTAAAAATGATATTCTGAAATTGTATTTTCTGCGCCACTTGGGCTGAAGTCTTATTGATGTATATCAAGTATTGAAATTGTTGTTTCTCATTGATTGTAAATCTTTGAATCGGATCATCTGTTGATATGGAAAGTTTGTCATATGATACACATATACCTTTGTTGTTCTTTGTCCCTCTTTGTTTCAGTCATATTGATATATATATATCTATATATATATAATATATCTATATATATATATATATATGGCATACAAGTTGTAATTGTTATTGAACTCACTAGCATCACCCGCTTATCCCTCTCAGTGTTAATTATTGCAGGTGATAGCATCAAATATAGTTTTGTAGTGTAGAAGATGTGAGAATAGATAATATTATAGCTTTGTATTAGTATATAAATTCTGGGAAGTTATGTAATATATAAAATATTGTAAAAATCTTAATAGTCGGTTTGTATCCAGTTTATGTAATTAAACTATCAATGTAAAATATTATTTTATAAATATGCATGTAGCATGTTTTGGAGTATTATGTAGTTTTTATCGAAAGAGGTTCTTTCAGAGCGTGGTGTGGTTTTTTGCTAAAACCGCATAGAATGATTTTTAGTTTGTTAAAACCGCACCGTTCGGTTTTTGTTTTTGGTGTAGTTTGCGGTTTTAAGTGTTGTTCGATTTATATATGGTTCGGTTCGGTTTATAAACCGCAACAAATATGGTGCGGTTTGTACATTTGGATGGTTTTAAAAACCATAAAATTTATGGATTATAGTCATATTTCCTTGGGTTTATAATAAGCCGTACAAATATACAAGGACTTTGTAGTGAGTTAACTATTAACATAGAAAATATCAAAAGAAAATATCGAAACTATGGCCAATAAATAAATTTTTTGGCTAAATATACATTTCGTAATTCTTGAAACTAAATCTTGAAAATAAAATCTCATTTTTGGCTTCTCTTTAGTAAATTGTAATTGAAAAAAAAACTTAAAAATAGTAATATATTTTATAGATATTAAATTGGTAAATATACATTATTTATTTTTAAATATCATAAAGTGATTTTTGGTATGCAGTTTTTACAAACGGTGCGGTGTGGTGCGGTTTTTTGGTGTGGTATGTAATACAAAACCGAACCGCAACGTAAATATTGGTTTTTTACAAAATAAAAAACCACACTATCGGTTATTTGTTTCATTTCGGTTTGTCAATTATTTATGTTTGTGGTTCGGTTTTTATAATCCCTAAATAAGGATATAAAAGTGGGGTGGGTGAGGTAAAGTTGGTGAGTCTCAATATCCTTTTAATAATTATTATCAAATAATAGTCAACGGATAAATAATAATATATATAATAAATTAAATAAAAGTAAAATAGTCATTTTATTTATGTGAATGACGAAAAAAATAGAGAAAATTACAAAAATAGTCTTATCTCTTAAATACTTTGTGAAAATAGCTAAAAAAACCCAAATTATAAAAATAGCCATCAAAATCGCATATGGACTGAGTATATCTGCGATTTTACTTGTCCATCTGCGAACGTACAAGTCGTTAAAGCACATATGTGTTTTAGCGACTTGTACGTTCGCAGATGGACTCAGTTCATCTGTAATTTCCCCTTTTTCAAGAGTATAAAATCGTATTTTTTTTTCTTCTTTCATTTTTCAAACTTTTTTTTGAAGAACTCTCTCTCTAGAGGCACTATGAAAGATTTCATTTTTCAAATATTTTTCAAAGTTTTTGTTTGAGAATTCATTTTATTAGAGATGTTTTAAACAAATATTCCAAAGAAATAAGAACTAAATTGATAATCTTTTGCAAAACTTTATATATAATTAGTTTGTTTCGTAGTTAAACCTTATCAATTTTGTAGTCAAATTTAAAAAAAAATGCAAAATCGCAGGTGAGATGAGAGGAAATCAGGGATGAACTTAGTTCATCTGCGATTTCAGTCAAAGATTGAGTATTTATACAGAAAAAATCAAAAAAACTAAAAAAAAAACCATCTGCGAACGTACAAGTCGCTAAAGCACGATGAAATGTTAAAATCGCAAATGAGCTTAATCCATCTGCGATTTTCATGGCTATATTTGTAATTTGGGTTTTTTAATAGCCACAAAGTAATTAAGAAATTTTGTTATATTTGCAATTTTCTAAAAAAAAAAAAAAAAAAGATTTATTGACTGTCCGATTGGGAAAAAAAAAATAACGTTAGGAATTAAAAAATCATATTTCCCCATTAAAGGGATTATTCATGTAATCTACTCATTTATTTGTCTGTTTGCGGTGGAAACCCACTGAAAAAGGGTCTTCCGTTGACTTAACGGTAACATCATTTTCAGAAAGACCAAGCAAAACCCTCCAATCTTCGATCTTCGCACAGGAAAACGGTAAATTTCTGCAGCCAAATCAATGTCGTCGTCGATATTTACGACGCTTTCCAATCGAAACGAATAAATGTAAGTTTCTCTTATGATGATGTTTATTGAGAAACACACGCAGGGGATTAATCTAAATTGATCGATGCTAGGATTATCTGATAATATACCTTTTTAGCCTACTTTTTTTTTTTAAAAGCATTAATCTATTATTTTGATTGATTTTGTGTTTCTTTTTGTCGGATTTTAAGTGTATTGGATTTAATAATGCTAATCTTTTTGGTCATGCGTAGATGAATATTTGATATTTCATTATTGGAGTCGCTTTTTAATGGTGAAATGGTTAATGTATGATTATCATTTGAATGAATGATTTTTATACTCTGAAATTAGGTCATATGTTACCAGCTCCACTGAATCAGTGTTCATATAATTGTGTCTGTGTGGCCTTTTTGTTAATTAAAAGATGATGTTTCCTTTTTGTAATTGGTGTTCATTCATTACCCGTTTCAATGAGGGTCTTTTTTTTTTTTTTTTTTTTAGTTATTTACAGGAATATAGCTCATCAGATGGGATGTGTGGTAGTAAATATTATCAAAAGCTGTTGTGGGTTTGGAGGGTTGTTTGAGATTATGCAGCTCTCTTTCTTTTTGAATCTTGTAGTGAGAAAAGTATTTGGTGATATAATATAGAAGAAGTTGAGAAGATCGTTGTTGTTATCAATATTCAATATCATGGGTTGTTTTTGTTCAACTCCTCCAAAGAGCTACAGAAAGTTACCTTCTTTTGATCCTGTTGCACTTGCTGCCGAAACCCCTTGTAAGTTTTTTTTTTGATCATCTTTTTAGCAATTCTTTAGTTGCTGTATTGATGGGCATTGCTAGAATTGTGTTGTAATATATAACTGAGAACAAGTTCAAGTGTTGCAGTTACTGAGAATGAGGTGGAGGCTCTATACGAGCTATTCTCGAAACTAAGCAGTTCTGTTGATGATGATGGGGTTATAGGGAAGGTATAATATTTGTTGGACTTGGAAGCTAAAGATAATATTGTCAATGCAAATAATTTTGTTTATATTTGGACAGGATGAATTCCACCTAGCATTATTCAGGGATTATGATAAACGAAATCTGTTTGCAGATCGGGTAAGTAATAAGTAGGGTTGTGTATTTTTATTTCGAACGAAAAGACAAAAATGTTGATCTTATATTGGATATCAACAAACATCAATCGATGGTGAATAACAATTTTTTGTGTTGGTTTTGTAGATATTTGATCTTTTTGACGTGAATAGGAGTGGGCATATTGACTTCAGCGAGTTTGTCCGTTCGTTGGGTGTATTTCATCCAAAAGCTCCTCAAGCAGACAAAATTTTGTGTGAGAATTAATTTTGCGTTTTTAATCATTTGTTACAAGTTTTCCTCTGCTTTCTTGGAAGACACAGACACAGTAGCTCGAATAAGAATGATTAGAAAGTGATATCAATCTTTTTTTTTTTTTACAGATGCATTCAGATTATATGATCTAAGACGCACTGGCTTCATTGAACGCGAGGAGGTAACTTTAACTTGGTATCTGTTTGTTGTGTGTTTTAGTTTTACCGGTTGAAAATTATTTTTTTTTTTTTTGAATGGAAAGCAGTTGAAAGAGATGGTATCGGCCCTTCTTAATGAATCTGATCTTGATCTATCAGATGATATAATCGAATCGATGGTAGATAAGGTAATAAATAGCAATTGGTTGTTTGGAAACCTCAACAGTCAACACACTTGGGTTGTGAATTGTGATGGCTGTATGTTTGTTTGTTATTCAGACATTTACAGAAGCAGATACGAAAGGTGATGGTCGGATTGATCAAGAGGAATGGAAAGAATATGTAGACAAGAACCCTTCATTGTTGAAGAACATGACTCTTCCTCATTTAATGTAAGCCATACATACATACTTTGATCTTTGGTCTTCATTTCATAATTTTCTTTTTTTTATTATTAAAATTCAGGGACATAACCTTGAGGTTTCCAAGCTTTGTGATGACCAGCCAGGTAGAGGAGTCCCACACAACAGACTAAGACAACATGATGAGGTAAAAATTGTACATAAGAATGAAAGAGATATCTTTTTTCAAGATTTAGTTTAGCACCAGGTAGAGGCCTCCTTTTATTGCTTCCGGTTTACATAAAAACATGGTTTAGGAATGATTATTTATGATGATGGGTAAAAGACTTATTTATATTGCTTTACCGATATATGTAGTAAACTTTGTTTCTTACCAATGAACCAATGGGTAAAAGACCAAAGATATCCAACAATGCAAAAAAGCAAACCCGAAGAGATATCAAATATTTGGGCTCATAAACAGACATTTACATGGTTCTACAATCAGGGTGATTGTGTACCTTCACAGAGTAAGACATACATACGCCATGTATTTATTATTATTGATCAATAATAATTAAACGGAGGTTACAAGATCATTTATAAATGAACAACCGGCAATCTAGAACTTTGGCAGGGCTAAAGTGACCACAAGGACAAGGGCTGACTTAATTTAATGTCCATCATTGTCATTGTGTTGAATAGGGAAGCTTGTGGAAGTTCAACAAAACATTTGTAATTCCAAAAGTCCGCCCGCCTTAGACGAGTGCCCACAACACAACATCAAACATGTAATGGAGGCCGATCGTCTCCAAAGATTACAAGGGTCATGAAATGTTGATGGTAACATTTCATATCACATATTACAACAATCCACCTTGATAGTAATGCATCTACAACCCAAAATTTAAAAAAAAAAAAAAAAAAAAAAAAAAAAAAAAAAAAAAAAAAAAACACTCCTAATGGAATAAACACATTCCCAACGCAATAGCATAAATGTTACCTTGAGCTTCGACATTGGATAACATTTGCACTATGTGCCAAAATCGTCGGACCAAACAAAGGACATACCTTAAGAACCTAAATCAATCTCCAGTGAAGCCCAATATATACAACGAACCATCCCTCCCTCGGATATCTTCCACCAAAATGTCTTTCAATCCTTTTTATATATATATATATACAATGTGCTTCATTAAAACTCGATGATCTTCAAGCTATATTGCAAAATCATCCCAAGTTATCTTTCTCAGTAATGTAGCATCCTAACCTTAGACCTCCTTATATATGTCATAAAGATATGTTAATCCTCTAGTAAGTGCACCATGCTAATGGTGTACTTGTCATACATGAACTAAATATGAGTGTTTTGTTGAAGACTCTTTCCATGTATGTATTTCACTTCTAGACATTTGGCCCCTCATATGCTATTATTATGTCTTGGATTGATGCTTGCTTGTAGGACCATTAGGCTTGGGTAAAGGTTGATGTAACAATTGGAAAAATGTTATTTTCTAGCCTCTTGCGCGACCACAATAAATAGAGTCATTATTTCATTTAGGCTCAGTATGTGTTGTCCAAACAGCCACAAGGGGCTGCTTTGTGCGACCTGTGTAGGCCTTTGTCGACTCAAAATGAGAATTGATATCAAGTTGCTAACAATGGCATACTCTTTTTTTTCTATACACTTTTCGTTTTAGAGGTGAAAGGAGGGTTTAATATGTGATTTTAGGTAAAAGCACCAAATTTGAGAGTTTCTAATCCCTTGTAGTAAGTCTTGATCATCCGATAAACTTCAATCAAATCTTCAGAGCTTCTAATCCCTTGTATCAAGTCTTGATCATTTCTTAACTTCAATCAAAGGTGAGTAATCATGTGTTCTCGATTCTTTAATTTGGGAATGAACTAGGGTTTTGTGTCGTTGTTGGAGAATGTTTAAATTGATGATTGTTAGACTTATATATGATATACACATATGTTTATATTATTTAATAACACTACTTTAATCATTTACATATACTAGTGAACTCCATCCATGAAAAATCCATATTGTATATTAGTGTTATTGGTTGATGGAATTGGTGGTTGAAACAAATGATATTCACTCGAACCTAGTATTGAGCTAGAAGTATCAAACTAAATCTTGTATTGGATGGGAAAAAAGATTATGTTGGATTTTTTTTTGGATAAGATTGTGAATGAGATTTATGTAATGGAAATTTCACTAGGTTAATGTTAAGTTATTAAGATTATAAACTGAAATACCCAATACAAACACGAACCCAATAGTTAATTACAAATCATATATCTGACTTAACTGACTGGACGAAACTAAATTTATGATATAATTTCATAATTATTAGATAGAAGATTATGATCATCAATACCCATCCATAGTCCCATTGCATCAATACCCCTCTCATTTGTCCCATTGATATCCATCTAAATGGACCATATCATTTTGATTGTTTGTCATATTTTAGAAAAGAAATCATAACAAAGAGTGATTGGTCTAGTAGTTGTATCAAAAGATGTTATTCCATTAAAACGTTGATGATTTTAGAAATAGAATTTAAAAAGTGTTTGATAGGTGTTCTAGAAAAAAAAAATCATAATTTTTATATTTCTTTATTAAAAGGTCCATGAAGCTTCCTATATTATATGATCGTAAAGTAGAGGAAGTTTCCGAGGAGCAAAAGTAATATTATAATTTGAGTTGGACTTTCGGTGAGGAATATGCTTTTGCTTCATGAGACTTCATCATTTTACCGCCTTCTACTTTACATAAATATACTTTTCGGTCTTTATATTATTAAAACGTTTATAAGTAGAATTTCATGCCACTTTGCTCTTTTAGAAAATAAATTTTGTCAAAAATGACGAAATGACACACTTAAGTGCCAATAAATGATTAAAAAAAATGAGTTTTTCAAAAATGACCAACGAGTATGCAGAGCGTCATCTACGGACTCATGCCAACAGTCGAATATAGGGACTTTTTTGTAATTTGTGTGAGTCTGAAGTACGGAACCTTAGTCTATATTACCTTCTTTGCGGACTTATAGTACCTTCTTTGCGGACTGATAGTACCTTTGCGAACTTAAATGTATAAATTTCGATAATTCATTTTTTTTCTCTGGCATGTAGATTTTTGTTTGGAATTTTAGTTGTAATTTTTTATTTATAGATAGGATAAAGAAATCTGCATTCCAAAGGCAAAAAAATATGAATTACTGAAATTTATACTGATAAGTTCGTAGAAGTACCATTACTCTACAGAAAGGATACTATGGACTCACAAAATTACGAAAATGTCCATAATATTTGACCGTTGGCATGAGTTCGCAGAAGACCTTTTCGGACTCGTTGTCATTTTTGGAAAGCTCATTTTTTTGGTATTTTTTTGCATTTTGGTGTGTCATTTGGTATTTTTTTGTAAATCTTTTTATAAAACTACATATGAAACTATGAATTTCCTACAAAACTTATTTTGAACTTAAATATTATCATTTTTACCGTATATTTCCTATAATTGGATCATCTTTATATCATGAATAAAGCAAATATAAGTTTATTATAGAAAATAAAACCAATGTACGTTTCAATTAACTTGTAACACTCCAAATCAGGTAAACCATTTTAATCCCTTTAAATAATTCAGTTGGCAAAAATGGTCCCTTTTAGTACACCCGACGTACCTAAGGGTACGCTTAGCGTACCATGGAGGAAGGACCGCGGAGGAGTTTCACGTATGCGGGGCGTACGCAACAGAGGACCAAACCCTAATTTCCGGACTTAAGACCTATATAAGCATCCTTATCTCATTTGAGCCTCACCCTAACTAGCCTCCTTCACCCTCAAACGTCCCTGAAAACCCTAAAATTATTAGAGTGTGTGTTCTTGAGCTTGTGAGTGTTTAAACATCATCCTTTTGGTGTGTTAGCTACAAGGAAGAGGAGGAAACAAGCTTGAACGAAGAAGAGCTTCTGGATCTTACATTTTGAGCAGCCTAGGAAGCTTAAGGAGGTAAAAAGCTTTCACCTTGGTCATTATTTTCATTTCTAGAGCTAAGGTTTTCTCTTTAGTCCCTTTTTGTGTTCTTGGACCACCTTTTGAGAGTTTGAGCAACTCCATAGTTTAGGGAGGATAGATATGAGGTCCTTTGGTCCATTCCTAGCATAAAAATGGACTCTTGGAAAGGTCTTAATGGGTTGTTGGGAGCATATGGAACATGCAAAGGCATAAAGTTGCCAACTTTATGCCTTAGGACGTCTTAATGAACTCAGATCTAAAGATTGGACGTTAGAACATCAAGTATTAAGCACTTAATGGAAAAAGTGCTTAATTTGTTTGTACGTTGGGCGTAGCATAGTGTACACAGCGCGTACAGCTCATGGACTCAGTACGCTAAGCGTACAGAAGTGGTACGCAGGGCGTACACACTCAGATGGACTTGGACTCGTTTTGGGCTTGAAAGCCCTTTGGGCCTTAATCAGTCATGGGCCTAGTCATGTTTTGAGTTAGTGGGCCAACTTATCTGTTTTGGGCCATGATTGCTATGGTTGGGCTTTTATTGAGGCATGAGGCCCATTAATGATTTTGGACATGGACTTTGGGCTCATTAACAAAGGAAGACTTTTGGGCCATTATGAAAAGACTTAGGGCTTGGGTTCTTTGATTGGATTATGTTTCAGCCCTAACCTTGGGTTAATTGTATTATTGTTCAGCACGGGTGTTCACGGATTGTTAGGAGAGCAGATTTCAGATTCGGCAGATAGAAGTGAGTCTCCTCACCATACCAATGGGTCAAAGGCACCAAGGCCGGCCTATTTTGTGATATGTGGTACACTAGTTGGTTATATGCTACTTGGTATTCTAGTTAATTATATGCTATGTGGTATGTTAGTTGTATATGTGGTATACTTGTATGAAAGACCATGGGGGAGTCCATGGCACTTGGATGTCAGACCATGTGGAGAGCCCATGGATTTCCTATTAAAGACCATGGGGGGAGCCCATGGCACTTAGGTGTAAGACCATGCGGGGAACCCATGACATCCTTGAGTAAGACCCTGAAGAGAGCCCACGACATCCATATATGTTGTATGCATGACTTATGTGGTTTATGTAGCTTTTATAGCTAATATGGTATATGTGATTATGTGGACTGTGTGGGGTATGTTCTGGGGAACTCACTAAGCATTAGTTTACAGTTTTTTGATTTGTTTCAGGTACTTCTGAGCCTAAGGGAAAGGGCAAGGCTTGAAGGCGCGGCATGCACTCTCCAACATTTGTTTTGATGGGACACTCTGATAGTTGAAATAAAATGTTGATGTTATGGATTTGAAAATAATTGTCATTGATATTTCACATTTTATGGGAATGTTTGGTTAATTAAAAATGAAAATTTTATTTGAAAATTTGGGTCGTTACATAACTAGTAGTGTAAAAGTTAATATCTATTAAACTTTAAAAGATCAAGGTTGCAAACTCATATCTAAAGGGTAGTTGCATATACATCGTTTCTCTTGCTAAAATTTTAGGATCTTCAAAGCCTCTTGATTGTTTGTACAATTAAAGATCACAATAGTGTAGCAGGAAAGCACACAAGTGTTTGATCCCTCCAAGCAATGAGACATGGATTTGTTGTACATCAAAAATGAGAACATTGCAAAGTACACAACAAAGAGCTTAAGTTTCTGTAGCTAAAAACATGAATTGTGGTGCAAATGTTTATATAAATCGATTTTTTCAGCACAAAACAGACTCACACCATAATTATAGTAATTCCAAGATTTAATCAATCACACATAAGTACAAATCCAATACGTTCTAGAAAGTACTCTCAAGTCTGACTACAAACCAATAATCGACCACATGGCATGCATGGAGAGATTAACAAAATGCACTTACCATACATCAAAACAAAAGCAATATTCATATTCAATATACAAATAGCTTCTTTCGTATAATTGGCAACCACAATTGCATAAAGACAACACAATACTCGAACACATACAATCTAAAGTATACAAACTTCATTACACAGGTAAGCAAATGTAGTTCATATAAAGAGTTAAATTACAGAATAATATATACACACTTTAATTACTCGAAACAAACAATAAGAGACATACGACATTCCGTTATGACCATTATTTATGTAACATTCGAGTCTGGTGGTATGTTTCTTTTTTTAACCCTTAATGTAGAATTTCTCTCATTTTAGTCCCTAGCTAAGTACACGGGGTGTACTCTATGAGTACGATGAGCGTACTGGCTCGTTGGTTGGATCGCGGATGCATCCACATACGTGGGAGTACGCAGGACGTATGCAATGCAGGGGAAAACCCTAATTTTTAGGGTTTTGTGCCCTATTTAAACAACTTATGACACCCTTGGGCCTCCTTATGAACAACCTCCATCTCTCTATACCTTAAGATCAAAACCTTAATTGCCATTTGTGAGATTTGAACTTGGAAGTGAGTTTTGGTGGTGTTTTTGGTGAAGTGAAGGAAGAAGAACACTTGTAGGTTGCTTGGGAGTGACTTGAGCTTATAGATCCAGAATCATCTTCATCTTTGCAAGCTATTTTAGGAATAAAGCTCTCAACTTGATGGTTCCTTACGCTAGATCGAATTTAGGGTGTTATTTGTGCATTTTTGGGTCCTTTAAGCCATATTTGAGATTATGGTCTACTCCAGAAGCCATGGATGTTAGATCTTACCACCTTTGAGGTCCCTTGTCCATAAAAATGCAATCTTTATGAGTTATATTAGTCCATGCATGTGTTAGGATCCTTAATAGGGTTCTTTTAAGTTTTGGGTCCCATTAAGTCATGTATGGGAGTAAAGTTGCTTGTTGTACGTGTTAAGTCACCATTTGGGATCAGATCTGAGAGTTTGGCTTAATGGCTTAACCGATTAAGTGTTTAATGGGTTGGGTTGGTTGTCTGCAGAGTGCGCGGGGCGTACCCATCTCGTACGTTGCGCGTATTAGCCTCGAAAGGAGTACACTGAGTGTAAGTCTGAGTACGCCAAACGTACTCAGCAGTTTGACTTTTGTTGACTTTCGCGTATTGGGCTATATTTTGGACTTTTAAGGTTTGGGTCTAGTTGGGACTATAGTATTTTGATATTGGGGCATTATAATGCTTTGGGCCTTCTTGGAATTAGGCCCATGATGGGTTTTGAGCCTAATTAGGAAGTTGGGCCATATTAGTCTTTTTGATACTATTGGATTGGGCCTCGGATTCTGGGCCAAGTGAGGAAAGGGTAAAATGGACTTTTACCCTGAGGGTTGGACTTCAGACTAGGATTCCAATTTTGGATTATGGACCAATTATTAATTGGATATTATTTGATCGTGTTAGCACGGGGATTTTCGGATCAGCAGTCCGAGATTTTATTTGAGAGATTCAGCAGCTTGAGGTGAGTTTCCTCACTATGTTTGGCGGGTCGAAGGCACCAATGTTGGCCCATAGTTTATTATGATTAGGATGCTAGTTGTATGCGTGACTCTTGCATGTATGATATCTGATATGTATACCGGGCGGAGCTCGATGCCAGGCGGGGCCTGATGATTATATTGTATGTTATTTATCTTTGTGATTATTGCATGTGTTTATGTGTTTGTATGTATACTGGGCGGGGCCGATGCTAAGCAGGGCCTGATGACTGACAGATTTGTTCTGAGCGGGGCTCGATATCGGGCGGGGCCCATTATATGTTTGATATGTATGGTATGTGGTATTTTGGGGAACTCACTAAGCTTTGTGCTTACGGTTTTTAGTTTATATTTCAGGTATTTCTGGTTCGAATGGGAAGAGCTCGGGATGACATCATTGCACACACTACATTGTTTTGCATTTTATATGACTCATATGTATTGAGATTTTTATTGACATACTCTGATTTCACTATGGTTTTATGATATTGTTTTGGGTAATGGTTTTATTAATATAAAAATTGAAATTTTGTGTCTTAATTTTTCGGACGTTACAATTTCTTTGTATTTCAGTTGATTCGTTGGTTAATTCAGTCATAACATTTGCAACTATTCTATTTCATCTTCTTATTTATTTAAATTTTCTATTCAATAGCAAATTTGTTTCTACATGAATTTTGTAATAATATTCCAACAACTATAAATGTCGTCTGAGGTAGAACTGAAACCCCCCAAAACAGGTTTTACCTAGAGGTGGCAAAAACTACGACACGAACTTGACACGAAATAAACGAGTTTAGGTAAGATATTTCAACTCGTTTAAATAAACAGGTTGACACGACACAACATGGAAATTTAACTGGTAAGGTGAGAGTTGAGAATTTCAACTCGAAAATAACCCGTTTATTTATATGCAAATTTTTTGAGTTATTTAAATAAAATAGAGATATCCAAAATTAAAATCATAAGTAAAAGAAAACATTTGGATTTAGTCGTTTTGTAATGTGGAAATGACTTAGTTGTCTAGATCAAGATTTTATTTTTAGCTTTTTCATTTTGTCATTTGAACACTATACAATCTCTTTGACCACTCTCTCCTCATGATCTCGTCTCCCACCTCCCCGACTCCTACTCTTTCCATTTTGTCATTTGAACTTGTTATGACTTTATCTATTCCGCTTCCTAACTATTACTTTTTCCTTTCATCCTACCAAACTCTTATTTTTTAACATGTTGAGTGTTTCAACCTCACATAACACAACATATTTCAATGTATACCCTTAACACGAAACTCGGCACGAAAATAAACGGGTTGACACTGATAGGTTTTATACAAACAATCCTATGTGTACATGCAACCCTAATTGGATCTATGTTTTCACTATTAGACATACAACTTTATGAACACAAAAAGAAACCTGGAATGCTCCTATAATTTTCGAAATCTACATAGGAGAATAGAATACATACCTTTTGTTGTTATATAGCAATAACAACTAGTTCCTTGAATTTCCTTAGCTCTTGAAAGCAAGTACCACAAGTGTAGTACCTCTAATGGCTCACAAACACACTTTGGGTGAGAGGATGAATATGAGAGAGAGGAGGAAGGGTACTAAGCTCCAAAATTCGGCCCTAGTAGGGTTTTCCCAAGAGTGGTCGAATTCTAGTGCCTTAGGGTGCTATTTATACTTGAGGCTAGCTAGGGTTTCAAGGTGGGGCCTAAGCAAGTCCATGGACTCCTTTCCTTAAGCCCTTGGACGAAAACTCCTAGATCCTTCTAGGATTTTCGGCCAAGCCTTAATAAAGGTGATCCAATGGCCCAAAGCCTCAACTATTGAATAATTACAAAACAGCCCCTATACTTTCAATCAGTTCCTTTAATCCCAAAAAATTAATTCTAAATTAATTTCTGATTAAATAATATGATTCCAAATTATTATATTATTCTTATAATATAATAAATAAATCATATTTATGCCCCAATAAACCTCTCTCCTCAACTGTCATCCTGTCTAGTCACCCGTATGAAGGCAACCCAAAAGGATCATGCTCACAATCGGGTCAAGTACATACCAAAATAGTTATGGACTTAGACACTAATCCAACAGTATCCCACTTGGATAAGTCTAATAACTATTTTGCATAACTTTAGAACCTGATCAGCAATCGTAGCTTTCAAAAGCCGCTATCAACTCTGATCTTATCAGATACGCGTGTCCTTTAGATAAGGGATTATATATTCCTCCATTCTCAAAATATCGTATAGACACAAGACATGAATTTTAATCATTCTCTCTGTACTGTTTCCCGACTTCCGATTTATGACGACTGACAACAGACTACAATTAAACACATCAACTTAGTCCCGGCTTGGCCAAGCGCTTAGGGTGTCATCACTAAATCATCGAGGGGCACACATATATCGCTTTTATCCCACTTTGGGTAAAAGGAATGGATAAACTTCGACTCAAATGCTCGCTTGCATTTACTGATCGAATCACACACAACAATGAGTTTTATAACACCAAGTTACTGGTGCGTTTACTTATTATCAATGTGTAACCGACCAACAAATAACAACTCACACGTATCGGTTTCAAGAATATACAATATTATCGACTCACAATCACTCGCGATAAAATCCATGAAGTGATTCACGTGAGCGTGAGTTTAATCCAATACTCTAATCTTATCAAAGTACTCATGTACTCTGCAGCAAACTTGTGCTATGTCTAAACACTTTAGACAATCTATAGACAGATTCATGACAATCTTCCTTCATACCTACTTCCAACGTATGACCGACTGTGGAGGTTCGAATAACCCAGTTATTCTGGAAGTCAAAACATGCAAGCTGAAACACAATAATAATACTTAATCCTTTATGGCCCCAAAACTTTTGAGTGTAAATAAAACTTTTATTTAAACACCATATTGATTACTCAATATTCATTTGTTTTAATGTTTCGGATAATCAACTTATTACTTGAATTACAACAATAGATGTCCCATGCTCCGAGCATGCACATTATGTTTCCTATGGTCCATGCTTTGTGAAATAGATTAATTGAAAACCTTTCAAATGATGCTCATTTCACAATTCCTAATCCTCATCGTTAGTGTAAGAATACAAGGTTCTTGCCACTATTAGAATATGTTAGATTCTAACATTTTATGCAACGATCCTTTCGTAAAGTCATAGCACAAAAGTCACCAAGACTTGGCCAATGAAATTACAAGGTTCTCTATCAGAAATTGTTACAAAACAATTCTATAGATGTGATGTCTCTCACTCAAAGTACATTCCTTTGAACATCCTTTTTGCATAAAATTTTCTAATCTAGACATAAATTCTCAATTTCCAACTCCCAATATGGAAGCATTTCCATATTTGCCATATGACAACTTATTCTAAATAAAATCTTATCTATTCATAATAATGTCGATATGGTCCATCCAATATTATACTTCCAACTATTCACAAACAACAAATCCTTGGCGAACCTTAGATCGTCATTTGATAGTTGTTTAATTATTTTAGTCAAATCCAGTTCTAGTCCTTTTTCCCTCTTAATGCCCTAGGCATTTGGAAAATTTTAGAATAGTTAAATATTATAGCATTTGCAATCGATCCTATACCCGAAGCGTATGGGACACGATGCATAATGTCTTACATAAAGATATGATACTTTATCAATCTTCTGCCATAATATTTTATGTGTCACGTTCTCACAATTCGAACTATGAAGAGGGATGTCGTAATCATAATCGAAATTTGAGAACACACTATGTATCCTTTGACTAAAAAAAATATTAAAATTTCTCAATCTAAGCTTTATATTTTGAAACGAAGTATAATATTCTTCTCCCTTAATTATAACAAAACAACTTTTCAACCCTTGCGACTTTGCAAAGTATAACTCTTTTTTCTATAATTAATATCGCTAACTTGCATATACTTACCATAATAATCATGCTTCCACTAACATGATGATTATTTACTTATCAGCATAACACTTATGCTCCCAGTAGCTTCGACATGTATTCGGAAAACAGCTGAACTTCCAGAAAACAATGCTTATTGAATTTCTTAAGTTCATATTTCTAATACTTGATGCTTTGATAAGCCTTTATTTAAGCTTCTTAAACTCATACACCTTTGCCTTAGAAAGCTCACATGTGTATCTCAGAAAAATTCAGAACTTATGTTACTAAGTCCCAAATGTTCAGACTAATTGCCAAATCTCACAATTCGAACTATGAAAAGGGATACCGTAATCATAAACGAATTTGAGAATACAATTTTCACAATTGCTATCTTCTCAAAATCTCTCTTAGTGAAAGCATTTCCTCACAATCATTTTCATGAAGGAGGGAAACCTTATGACACTTAGATTTTATGGTGTATGTGATCCTATCCATGTGAATTTGCCAAAACCAAGGTTTGCGACAAATCCAAACTCATATGGACTGAACTTGTTTAATCTTGATTTCTTGCCTCATGGTAACACGAGTGCCCACCATGTCTTCCAAGTAGTTTAGCAACTCACCCTTACATATCAATGTACTTTCCATTGATCAAGGTGCTTTCCTTTATGCATACAAATGAGGACTCATAGAACTCACATGCATAATTTGCTCAATTGGAATGGCACAGAAAAAGAGTATGTCATTTACGATAGGCTATAAACCTCAAGTCGTGTGCTAGTGATGATTACCTAGGTTTATTCTTGATTTGTTCTTGAAATCTTTTCAAGACCATTTAAGACTCCCACTGACTCCTTGACATATAAGCTTCTTTTGCCAAGAAACATTTCTTGAAATACAAATATTCAAGAGTTAGTGTAGCTTTTCATCAAGTTTAACACTTCACACAATTGGTTCTAGTTGGTCTTTGTCTTACCCAAGACATCACAATTCACCAATTTCAAATGTGCAAGAATAAGAAAACTTTTCCTAATTCCACATTTGATGAGTGTTACAAATCTACCAAAAATATATCACTCAATTCTCAATCTTGGAGTATGATTCTAAGATTCGATATTGGAACGAAGTATGATTGACTTCTTGATTTAACTATTTCCACAATTCTCGAATCCTCTTCTTATACATACAAATGCATTAAGACTCACTTTGAGGATCAATTGAGAAATGGTCCTTAATCTTTAAGACTTATCATAAAACACAATAAAAGGTACTCTCCCTTCTTCTTAGAATAGAGAAACTTTTATCTTTCTGCCTACTTGATTCTTCTTATTCGTTCTGCTATTAATTGAAACTCTTTCAATCAACTCAGAATTATACTTAATCTTATAAGTATAACCATATTTACTAAACTTTAGTAAATCATGATGAATATCTTTATCACTCTTGTGGTGGACTCGATCAACGCACAACCTAGTGTACTCGATCTTCTAGTCCTTCACTTGACACTTTGCCAAAGAATTAGTCTAATTTCCAAATATGAAGTTTCTCATTCATCACGCAACCAGGTTGTATGATTCCAAGTTTCTATCCAATTGGAACTTGGGCGATGAGAAACTCTCCCTATTTGGTAAATTCTCGACATTTCCACAAATAACATAATTAAGAATCAAATCCATCATTGCTAATAATAGAAACATTCAAACATCAATTTTTCATACACGCCATTGCAAGGATAAATAAATAAGATAAAATCAAAATTTATTTTATTGCGGAAAATTTTGTCCTTACAATGCAATTCAACTGAAAACTATGCTATTACATATTTCTTAGCAATCTTTCCTAACTCTAAAGTAGCAGCTCAAAAATCCAATTCCTCGAATCCATGCGATCTAAATCCATTTCTTCATGATCAGATTTAGCATGCTTCTTCCTTAAGCTTCCTTTCTTTTCTTCGATCCTACAAAACATCAAAATGTAATCTTATCACATCATGTATTAAGAATCAAAAATAGAAACTTATAGAGTTAGTTAATGGATTTTACCTGAAGTGGAGCCATACGTCTTGACTCTCACATTTCTTAGATCTCTCAGGTAAATAGGCCAACTTTGTCTCCAATGCCCATTCTCTTGGCAATAAAAGCAAATGGACTCCTTTGGCACATTACATGGGACAATCTCATACTTATAATATAATAAATAAATCATATTTATGCCCCAATCAACCTCTCTCCTCAACTGTCATCATGTCTAGTCACCCGTGTGAAGGCAACCCAAAAGGACCATGCTCACAATCGGGTCAAGTACATACCAAAATAGTTATGGACTTAGACACTAATCCAACAGACACGACATGTAACATTAGTTAAATGGGTCGGGTTAGTGTCGAACAATTTTAACATGTTTACTGTTTTAATACAACACGACACGGTTGTCACGTCTAGTTTTACTTGTTATTGCAAGTAATAATGACATGTTTTAAACAAAAATACAAATTTAAGAGGCTAATACTTCATAAGAAAAGTTAATTTGTTACCCTTTTAAGTCATAATCCCATGCCAAAAAGTAAAGATGTAAGATTTAAAATTTAAAATATCATATATATATATAGCACGACAATGTGTGAGATTATTCATCCCCAACTCCATGTAAAGAAATAGAGCTAAAAGTATAGGGGGCAGAGTTGTTATGTTTTCAAAGTTCTTAGAGAATCTTGTCAGTCTTGGACAAAAAGTTAGAATTCAACGGCCATGACGCGTATTCCTCTCTCTCTCTCTCTCTCTCCTCTCTCTCTCTCTCTCTCTTCCAATTGATTTCGTTCAAGCAGCAGTAAGCATCGTTGGTAGCACAAAACTCGATTGATAAACGCTCATCGTTGAATTTTGAAACCGTAAAATACACGGACATTACGGTCAAAATTCAATTTGTCCCAAATTGATCGGCTATATGGTCTCTTCATCGTAGTACGTTCTTGGTTGATTCTTGCTTAATTGAGCTGGTAAGAATCCCCTCATCTTCCATGTGAATTTCAATAGAAACTCCGTAGTTGTTATGAAGCTTTCATCATCCTGTTCATTTTGATTCTAGAACCCTCCCTGTACATCTCTAGGGTTTTTACCGCCTGGTCATGTTTCAAATCTGGGTGCTCATTCAGAGGATTTGAGCTCTTTGTGTAGTGCTTGTTTGATTTGCTTGAGATTTCATAGGTTTGTAAAAAGTTTGGAAAATTAAGAAAGAAGATGTCGTCCGCTGGTGTTGTTGCTCTTAGGCCACTCTGTGACGACTCCATTTTGCCTTCGTTGTCTGTACATAACCAAGATCCGATTATGATTCAATTGGCTATGTCGGGTTCCATGGTTCCAATGAGGGTGTTGGAGTCTGAGTCGATTGAGTCGGTGAAACTTCGGATTCAAAGCTATAAGGGGTTTGTTGTGAAGAACCAGAAGTTGGTTTGTGGAGGTAGGGTATTATCCAGGAGTAATTCTTTGGTTAGGGACTATGGTGTAAGTGATGGGAATGTGGTTCATTTGGTTGTCAGGCTTTCTGACCTTCAAATGATCAATGTGAGGACTTCATGTGGTAAAGAGTTCACTTTCCATGTCGAAAAGAATCGTGATGTTGGTTATGTAAAAAGGCAGCTTGCTAGGGAAAAGAAGGGATTGATTAACATGGATGAACAAGAAATCCTGTGCGAGGGTGAGCAGCTGGAAGATGAGAGGCTTATAAATGATATTTGCAAATATAACAGTAATGATGCAGTCATCCGTCTGTTTGTTAGGAAGTGTGCAAAGATAGGAGCCAAAGCCATGAAGAAGGATTTTGAGCTGAGGATAGAATCAAAAGAATATGATGTTGGTGTGAGACAAGTTGAGAATGGAGGTCATGGGATAGAGTATTATGGTTCAGTTCCTAAAGAAGCTGTGAACAGAAGTGTGTGGTTGGAAGCTGTGATTGTTAACCCAAAGGCTGTACTCCCTGGTGTGGTTTTGGAGCTGGTAAACTCCACGTATGAAGGTTTGAAGAAGGGGAATTATCCAATAAGATCTTCTGAGGGTACAGGTGGCGCGTATATGATGATGGATGCATCAGGGAGTAAATATGTTTCAGTGTTTAAGCCGATTGATGAGGAGCCTATGGCTGTAAATAACCCCAGGGGATTACCATTGTCAGTGGATGGTGAAGGGCTAAAGAAAGGGACAAGTGTTGGTGAAGGTGCATTGAGGGAAGTTGCTGCATATATTTTAGATCACCCGAAAGGTTTGGGTGAACATAATAATAATAATAATAATAATAATAATAATAATAATAATAATAATAATAATAGGTCTTTCTCTGGTAGACGCAAGGGGTTTTCTGGGGTCCCGCCCACACTGTTGGCCACATGCTTGCACCCAGGGTTTAACCATAACCATAACCATAAGCAGACAGAGGGTGTAGAATACAAGGAGAAGATCGGGTCATTGCAGATGTTCATGGACAACTGTGGAAGCTGTGAGGATATGGGTCCTAATGCTTTTCCAGTGGAGGAAGTTCATAAGATCTCTGTTTTGGATATCAGGATGGCAAATGCAGATAGGCATGCTGGAAATATATTGGTGACCAAAACCAAAGGAGAAGATGCTAAATTTGTACTCATTCCTATTGATCATGGCTACTGCCTGCCTGCCAGTGTAAGAAAGACTCATCTCCTATTCTCCTTCATAGGCCGTTCATTTTATAGCACATTAAGCAAGTAAGTAAACATATGGATTTTTTTCTTTTTTCTTTTTTGGGTGCAGTTTGAAGACTGCACATTTGATTGGCTGTATTGGCCTCAAGCTCGGGAAGCGTTTAGTAGTGAAACAGTCGAGTACATAAAGTCACTGGATGCTGAGGAAGATATAGCTCTGCTTAAGTTTTATGGATGGAATTTACCCTCAAAATGTGCACGTGTGTTTCGAATATCCACCATGTTACTGAAGAAAGGCGTTGAGTTACTAAAAAACCCCTCCCCTTTTGCAATTGGAAAGCTGATGTGTAGGGAAAACTTGAATAAGCAGTCTGCGATTGAAGAGATAGTCCAAGAAGCAGAAGATCTTCTTCTTCCTGGTTCAAGTGAGGCTGCATTCATTCAGACAATTTCTGAGGTCATGGATCGCTGCCTTTGTAAATAATGGCTATAAACTACAGTATTCAATTTCTTATGTTTTCCGTACATATGAGGTGAGTGAGATTGAGAGAGAGAGAGAGAGAGAGAGAGAGAGAGAGAGAGAGAGAGAGAGAGAGAGAGTGGGGTTTCGGTTTCTTGAAGAATAATTATATTACCAAATGCTAGGTAGCGAGGAATACAAGTTTAGTGAGTTCTTAGACTAGAATCTTCCTTGTTCAAATTTGTTTGTTATGACTTATGATTACGGAGGTGAGGTGATTTCTTTTGTCTTGTAAATGTTGCCCATTATTTTTATTTTGAAGCTTTCTTTTATACTACTACGTGAAGAGAGGAGGGAGGAGAATAAAACATATGATTGTACATCTGGTTATTACAAATATATACAATCTTTCCATTTTACTACTTTTGGATCATGCATGAATTTACAGTAACTTATATATATATTGCTTATTGTTTTTAGGGAAACTATTAACATATGCGTGGCAAGAGTTATAGATTTCCTTTCCTTGGTATGGAATCTGGAATGATTGGGAATGAAAGACTTTTTTTTACATCTTACATTAATAACATAACATAACATTAAGAGGATGTTGCCCTAAAAATGTCAACAGTCAGAGTCAGTCCACACAAACACAACCGAATATGGCTAATGGCTCCATTCATCATTTTAACAACATGACATGACATGACATGGATTGAAACTGGGACCCACCCAGAAAATAAATAAAAAAAGAGTTGTTAAGTGAGTAGAGTCTAGAGAGGTTGGTTGGGAATGGGAAAGGGAAGGGGAAGGGGAAAGGGAAAGCAGAGGTTGTTATCGGAGGAGGAGTTAGGAGGAGGAGGTTCTTTCCATATCCGACCAGTGACCCTCAACTTGAGTTCCTGTCGATCTCCACCAGAGAAGAAGAGCGCCATATTCCTCTGTATGATGAGGCCGTCATGACTGTCCCTGACCTTTCTGTGACCATCTCTTATGGTGCGAGGGGTGCCCTCCCATATGAGCTTCCGCCCATTCCCTCCCACCTCCAAACTGTAACGATAATTCCTGGCATCATTCTCATCACCCATAAACCGAAGGAACGCCATGTACACAGGCGCCATGCTCAGCTGGAACGCCTCAAAGTGGAGACAGAAATACTGCCCAAAACAGTTGAACACCTGTGTGTGTACACATACCCCATCAAAACTCAAAACACTCAACTCTGTCTCAAATAATACACAAACACAAATACTAATAGATTAGAGAAACAGAGGTACTCACTGTTAACATCCAGGTGGCGTTCTCAACCTCACAAGGATTGGACTTGACATATCGGTGGTTGAAAGTGCATCCAGAGTGCATGTCTACTTTGTGATCGTCTCTTAAATGGGACACTAGAAAAGGGATCTCCCCAACCATGGAGCATTCTGATCCAGCATATGGACAGCTGTAGGGCCTATAATTGCACATGGATTCATGTTTCAGCTTGCTATAGTATGGGAAGATCCCAGGGCATCCATTCAAGCTGTATTTGCATGGAAACTCAAGGGATTCAGCCACTTTTTCTAATGCCAGACACCTTATGTCGCCAAGCTCTTGTCTGCAAGTTGGACACCTGTTGTGAACTTTTGCCTTACAACTCGAACAAAGCGTGTGCCCGTTGGGGCACTGCAACACAAAATCCAAATCAACTTTTTAACTTATCAACTAATTTCAAAAACATAATCGCAATCCTAAAACCCCCACCCCCACCCCTATTCCAATTCCAAATTCAAAATATAAAACACGAATCAATCATAACAAATTAAGATCGTTTCATATCATTATTGAGAGACAGAAACAGAAGAAACAAAACCTGATGAATAGGAGGGTACATTGAATTCGTACAAACAGGGCATTCCAGAAGCTCGTGAACACTGGTTGTGGGAAAAATCGTTGAGGAAACAACATTAACATTATGAGCTTTCGAAGATGAAAAGTGAGGATTTTGATGATGGTGGCGGTGATGATGATTATGGTGACGAGGGACTTCATTATCATTCAATCCATCCGAGACTGAAACGCATTCGATGTTATCAATCTCCATTTTGGAAAAACAAAACAACACCCACAAATCTTTATCAATATTTTGTTTTGCTAGAAGAAAAGAAAAGCTTTCCCCTCCCCGATCAGGTTAAAGACGACGAATCAATAACCAGGGGGAGGGGGAGGAGGAACAACAGGAGGTGCTTTTTCCTTTCTTGATAGCTTTCCTTTTTTTATTTCTATCAATTGTTTTTGCCTTTGGAGAATGAGATCGGTGGATAGGGTTGAATGCATAATTTTTGTTGATGAAATTGAAATGGTAGGAGATATGGTTTGAATGCTACAGTTCACAACACTTCAACATTATTGCCAAAATTAGTAGCCAACTCACTATTTTTATTCTTATTTCTATTTCAACAAAATAATACCAAAAAATATCATTTAATTTTAATCTACTGTTTTCTCATTAAAAAACTATTTTGTACATACTAAATACAATTTTTATAGTCAGTTTTAATATTGGACTTAAAACAACCACCAAATCATTATTATGAAATAAAAGCTCTTCTGTTCTACAAAAATCACATAATCTTCATTATTGATAAAGCTTGAGCTCATCAGTCATCACTAGAATATGCATTATGTTTTTGACTTTTTTTTTTTTCCAAACAATGAGTGCCGATCTCTTTGCAATGTCTAAGCTATGCAGGTCATA